CCTCCACCGGTCACGGGCTGAACACACGTTCATTTTGGGTCCGAATGGCCTCGCAAGATATACCAGAGAGCATCACCAACGCTACCCATTTCACCCTTTACACTTTTAGGCGCTATCGCAATATACGGGGGCATTGTGGTAGCGATGCATTCAAAATTGCGTAGAACATGCCTTTTTGTTGAAAATGGAACTAAGCCTCGAGGGGAGGAGAGACTCCAATGTGCGTGGCCATTTTATTTTCTTCGGAGTTCTTGCCCTCTCCTAGGCTTAGTCCAGGAGGACGCCCCCGTACATTGCGATAGCGCCCGCTTTATAATATTTACCCTTTTTCTAGATATTCCCCAAAAAACTCCTGACCCACGCACCCACCACTTGCGCTTTATCCACCCATCCCAATGTGCTTGCATTTTGGACCAGACTCGTTCTTCCAGGTAGCCTGCAATGGCAGGTGCTCATCTCTCAGAGCTCGGGTCAACAACGACGATGTTACCACATTCCAATGTATGCCAACCGCGGCGTGCTCGTAAGTGACCTCGCCACTTTTTCTCCCATGCAAACTTCTCTCGATGTCATTGAGCACCAACTTTCAGATATCTGGGCGCCCTTAACGGCTCGCAAACAGCTGAGCGGTGATCGGTGAAGTGACCGCAATGCTGTCTGACTATGCAAACCCTTGAACGTGCACACAAGAATGATGTGAGGCTTTCGCCGAGCAAAAATTATGAAGAAATCGTGTTTGATACTGGGTTATTCAGATCATCGTGCCGACCCCGTCACCCGTTGCGGAGACCCCGATTTCATGTTGGTCAGGAATGTACGTAAACGGAAAGCCGATCACCAACGTCGGTACGGTTTTTATAGTGGTGTATTCATTATGACACTCAAATGCGGACTGGCCTAGTGGCTAGGGTCTCTCCTTGTCACCTTTTTGAAGCTGAAGATCAAGTCTCGCGCCTAGACGACTCAAGCACTTTTTCATTCCTGGGTCACATTGATGTCACAAAAGCTACCTAAGGGACTACCGATGACTGCTTTGGAAATCTGCTGCTCCAAAAGTATTGCCCGTTCTGCAAAAGCATTTTTAAATCCATACGCATTTCAATCAGAAAGGGACTGCATGCTTACGTCTCAAGAGCGCAGCTCTAACGCGTGAACACTTAGCCCCATTTTTACTTCGCCAATAAAAGTTATAGCATCACTTCGCCCATTGGAAGTAGATGTAGGTTGGTTGGCGTACGAAGTTATACGACAGCTGCAGTGGTTGACATGCCTCTGGCGAAAGAAAGCGTAAAAAATGTTAGAACTAATTAACACACACTGCGCGCCAATCACATGGGCGGGGTTTGCGCTCCGCCACCGGTAGGTCCTGCTGATTAGGACTTGACCTTTTATTACCGTACCAAAAGCACGGCTGACTTCTGTGGTTCCCATACGAGATATATAGACATGCATAAAGGTGGTTAGCAGCTTTTTTGCTTCACCAGTGCCACGAAATACACTGATTTTGAGCGCAAACCCATACGCATTCAGTCACGGAGTGTACATATGAGACGTTCTGAGGTCTACATGCGTCAAAACAAGGTTCTGGGCCCTGTTTATGAGTGCAAAAGCACTCATGTTTGGATTTCCATTATAATGGCTGCATTTTTGACAAAGTCACAATATGTAACAGAGCACATTTCACTTTCCAGCAGAATCTCTTGAGGGATCAGCTGATGTTCATTCTAGTGGTTTTATCCTCATAGTCAGAAGTGATACCTTCCCTTTCAAAAAACGAGAAGAGCGTCGGATGCAGACCGTACACCACAAATGACGACGGCTTCCACAGGAAGTAATGTTTTCTGCCAAGTGAAATGATTAGCCTGTTGCAGTTGTATTCCTATCAGTTGTCACTAATTACAACTATCATTTACCAAAAATCAGCTATCACTATGAACCACTACTAACCAGATTTACTTGGAGGCCGTCGTCACTTGTGGTGTGTGGTCTGCACCCGACGCTCTTCTCGTTTTTTGGAAGGGAGGCACCTACTAATCAACCCAGTAGAGATGCAAGATTCAGTAAGATTGGCCTGAATTACGATTACGAACTATGCGAATAGCTAACAAACCTTTACTTGTTGTACCCTCTAGCTACCCATACAAGGTATAGCAAAAGCAAGGAGCCCCAGTTGAAAATCAGAAATTACGCCAGGACTTCATAAGCACAGAGCTCTGGGATTTCAGCTACAACACGTGCTTCGGAGAATGCGCTTCGGCAAGTCTGACCACACAGATCAATGGACAAACACACAACGCTGAAATCTACACTTGTGATCCGACCTCGGTCTGCAGTTCTATTGGTGAGTTCGGCTCTTTTTTAGGGCAGAAATTGCGCTATGGATGTGGAGGAAGCGGCATCAGGCCGGTGTCAGACTTTGTGAACACAGCGATTCGCTAGCAGCAGTCCGCGGAGTCGCTACTAGCGCTGGATTCGCAAAGTCTGAACCGGCTTTGGATGACGAGCAATCTTTGATAAACGATCCGAGCTAGAGTTTCACAGCGCAGAAGGTGAACCAGTGAGCAGTACTAGACGACTGATCGCCCGAAGGCCATCTGTCACCTCCATCCACAACCATAGCGCAAACTCCTCCTTTGGAGTTTTCCGAGGCACTACGTGAAGGTTTCAAAACCAACTCCCATTCAGGCATGATCAACAACTGTCTCACGGTTGAGACCGGAGTTCGAGCCTGCTGTTGCAACAATGATGCTTGTCTTACACCAACACGAGTCCGTTTCCCTTGACTGATATCCTCTTAGTCCTATACCATATGAAATGTTTCAGAAGCCCGGAAACGTACTTTGGTGCTATGTTGGTATGATTGCTCCCAAGGCCGGAGTCAATGTCGGAGGAGAGGTGAGGATTCCCTTCCAATCGAGCCTAAGTTCCCTATCTGAGAGATTGACTGCATTCAGGTCGTTTGTGATGGACAATGCTCTTCACTGAGCGGAATCGTCAACGGCGACAGCGTGACCACCTTCCAATGTGTACCGACACCAGTCTGCAAGTGAGTAGCACCTAACCTCTTGAGTAACCCTACCTACCATCCTTTACTACAGGTCCCTTGGTATCGGACAGGACGGTGGTTGCATGCCCCTGCCAGGAGATCGCGAAGTCAAAGGATGTTGCTGCAGTGGTTCAAACAGCTGCAATCTGTACCAGTTGAACAGGACTGACGTAAGTAGTAATACCCCCTACCTACCCAAGTTATTCCTGCTCATGTCTCAAGAGACCGATTCCAGATTTCACCACCAACCCCATCACCAGTACAGGAGTATCCGATCTCTTGCTGGACTGGAGTCTATGTGAACGGAAATGCCCTTACCTCGGCTGGGTAAGTGATACCTGAGTAATTTGGGGAATTCTCCAAGATCGATGGCCATTGCAGATTCTCCACTTGCTATGGCGAATGTGCTAGTGTGACTCTGCAAACCACATTGAATGGTCAAGCTCACAATGCACACCGTGTTCATGTGCGACCCGACATCGGTCTGCCAGGCTCTCAGTGAGTTCCTTTCTCGGCCTTTCAATTATAATCCAAGGCAACGACTGAGTTCAGTATTTCGTAGTGGCGAGTCCTAGCCGTGGGAGAAAGTGGCGGATTCGGATTTTGCGGGAAGGGAGTTGGCTGCTCATGGATTGATACAATTCTCGAAACAGTGATTTCTGAAACCGTAGGTGCTACGCGCGTGACGTATGGCGCAGCCGATGAGAGAAGTAAACTCTCAGGAGACGGAACAAAATGTTTGCTCCACATTTTTGCCCCAGAATTCCCCACATTTTTGCTCAGAATCCCCTCCTCTCCTCAAGGCGGCTTCATCCCAAATACTGTAAGTGGCTCACTCACTTCAATGTCTTTCCCTTCCTCCCCCCCCCCCCCCCCCCCCGCCATGAGCGCCGCCGCGTGTTGCTGTGCGGTGAATATCGCTATGTGGTTTTTGGAGGACCATGCGCTGGCAAAAAACATTTTGAACTTGACAGCCAGAGTCTGGGTAAACTACCACGCAATCCATCTGGTGACCACCCATCACAGGAGAATCGTCAGGGAGAAAAACAAACTGTTTCCAGATTAGGGAGAGGTGTGTGTAAGCTGAGGTTAAAATCCGACATCTTCACCTACCTCATGACTGACCTTCGTAATAATAATGCAGATACCACACTTCTGCCCTGCAACCTGGAGGGAAATAGAAGGTTGTTCCTCGCTCATGTTCGATAAGCTATAAGCAGCTGTTGGTGGAAACCCATGGCAGTAAGCTTAGGTCTCTACTTAATGCTGAAAGAAAAATTCTCGCTAGGTTTAATATTTCTGCGTTTCTTTTCGGCTCCACGCCTCGAAGAGACGCTCTCTCCATTTTCTCCCTTTCGTCCACTCACATTATCCCACCTTCACCTTCTTGAGCATGCTCCGCATCAATGCCGATTGACAACCGCAGCCACTCTGAAGAACGGGTAACCAACAATCTTGACTAAATCTCAATGTTACCACTGAAGTTATCTGTAGCCCCAGTATCAGTCTAAAAGGGCTCCGTCTCAATTTAATGAATCCAGACAGTTGGCTCCTTTTACAGATATGAGCAACACATGTGCCACCGTTGAGCCAGGAGTCTCTGGTTGCTGCTGTAATGACGACGCCTGTCTCACACCAACAAAGGTATTTAGGACTCACTAACCTCAGAGCAAACATTTAATGAATTACCTAGCTGAGACTAATCGAGCTTATATATTCAGTCACCTCTCAACAATCCTCTGACCTGCTACGTTGGAGTGAACGCCCCGAAGGCCGGAATCAACGTCGGAGCTGAGGTTTGTAGAAGTCAATCCAGTAGGGGTTATTGGATAAGCGCTTCGGAAAAGGTTTCTCATGATTTCGCATAGTTTCTCGACCAGGCGCGACAGTACGGCCAGGAGGACTAACCGATCCAGTGTAGAGCATTGAGACTAGAAAGGGGCTCAATCCCTTTCGAGAGCCCACAAATACACACCCTCCACTTTGGAAATTGCCTAGTGGATGGATGGCGCTGGTTATTTTCTAGGTGACTGAACTGCCCTCATTTAGGCGGTTGTTTCAGCCCAATAGACAGCTATGTGTCTACCAACAGGGGAAGTTTTGGTCGGGTTAACTTTCAAACCTGTCCAACCTCAGCCAGGCTAACCCATGGAAAATCGTTTACATTATTCGATATTCATCCTTGTTTTGCCTCTACCCAGGCTGGGTAGACCTACCTCCCGTTCTTGAAGCATAAATGCTTTCCAGCCATGGATCCAGTAAGTATCCTTAAAGCCCTCTTATCACCTCCTGATTCCCATATTTCAGGTGGTTTGCTCAGGAATGTGCTCTTCTCTGAACGCCATTGTCAACGGCGACAACGTGACCACCTTCCAGTGTGTATCGAGAAGCGTCTGCAAGTAAGGATACTACTACTACTGTAGAACTACTGTAGAAATAATATTCCTTTTTCAGGGCATACGGTATTGGAGTCGGTTACGGATGCCAAACAATCAGGGGCGACCGTGAAGTGACTGGATGCTGTTGTGACAACGGAAACGGCTGTAACCTCGCCGCCAGACCCGATGTGAGTTTGACAACTGTCAAATAACCCAACCCTAAGCTAGCTCTCGTTCTTTTCAGATCATTCAACCAACCCTCGCTCCCTATACGGAATTCCCTATTTCATGCTGGAGCGGAATCTATGTGAACGGAGTGGCACTGTCTAAGCCAGGGTTTGTCCAGCTCTTTTTCTGAGGCCAGGGTTACAGCTAAATTGACCATTCTAGTTACCAAAGCTGCAACGGAGAGTGCGCCTCGTTGACGCTGGTCACTCAAGTCAACCAGGTCACGCACAACGCCACCATGTACACCTGTGATCCATCTGCAGTCTGCAAAGCTCTCAGTACGTACTGTCACCATTTTTAGGGAGCTTTCAGTAGAAAAATTGAAAAGATTTGACTGAGTGCGGAAGCCACGCCCACATTGGGCGGTCCTTGAGCATCCAACTGATTGCCTGTTTTTCTATACAGATATGGACAACCAATGCACAACAATTGAGACCGGAGTCAGTGGATGTTGCTGCAACACCGATGCCTGTTTGACTCCTACCAGGGTAAGTTGTGAAAGCACGACCACCTATTGAAGCAACCTTCCATGGTTCTGATTTCAGACGCCTGGAAAGAAACTCTGGTGCTATGTGGGACTCATTGCCAAGAAGGCCGGAGTGAATGTAGGAGCTGAGGTAAGGTCTTGAGGTAGCGCTCGTGGTGCTATGTAGGTAATAACCTGGTTCTTTAGGTTGCTTGCGATGGAATGTGCTCTTCGTTGAGCGGTTCTGTGAACGGTGACGATGTTGTGACGTTCCAATGCGTACCCAACAAAGTCTGCAAGTAAGAGTAACATCTTTTTGGCGCTGGTGGACTCTGCAATGCCCAAATGTTTATTTCCAGGACCTTCATGAACACCGACGGATGCTCAACATTGCAGGGAGATCGTGAAATCACCGGATGTTGTTGCCGTGACAGCGATAGTTGCAACGTCAAGCAACTGAACAGAACTGACGTGAGTAGTAGAAAAAAAGGGGTACGAATTGGGTAGCTTAAAGGCAGTGAAGGCGATGACTGGAGGGGGAGGGGGATACGGTTTTTATGATGCCACTGAACCTCATTGGTGGACTAGACCCTTCAGCGCGTCAAGGTTGTGGACAGGACCGCCCCTTAGCAATCTCAGACCAATGGCGTTCGGAGGTCACTGAAACCGCTTCACCCTCCAACAATTGTGATCACTGCCCTTGCGCTGCAGAAAGTGAATTTGTATGAAAATCGAGCAACAACCCCATGAGTTAGTCCATTTAGCCCTATAAATGGCACCGAGTGTAGTGCAGAAGGCTCACCACGAGGCAGGTGGCTTCTATACGAACCCTTCAAAGAGTCAGCCTCCTTCAGATAGTTTTATGTACCAAATTGGCTCCGGAGGTACTATTGGGGCGCTTTTTCCACAGAGCAGGGTTTAGTTCTTTTTCATTTCTCACTCCTGTATAGCGCAATTGAATGGTAAACCTTCTCTGGGTCCAAATGTGCCACAAAGAGCAACAATTAGTATTTCTT